TTCTTTTTTTTTTTTTTTTTTCTTAAATTAATCCATCGATTCTATGCAATATTTGATTAACAATAATATCGTTTCACGATACGCGTTTTTCTAGTTCGTAGTTTCTAATTCGATTTATTATGGAGAAAAGAAATTGTTATCGTTGTCATCGTTTTTTCTTTTTAAATTAATAAATTCCATCGTGCTTGCGCCAATTTGTAAAATCTATTCGCTGATGTTATCGTGTATAAATGTTTTATGTAGATTTATTATTCCAGGATAGAAATCGTTATTGCTTTCTTTTTTTTTCTTTTTTTAAATTATTCCATCCGTTTGTGTCAATTTCTGGAATTTACTTGATGATCTACGACGTTACCGCATTTCTAATAGATTTATTACACGAGAAACAGAGAGAGAGAGAGAGAGAGAGTGGAAATAAACGTTATAGACACAGAGTTTTAGAACTCTAATAGTATCCAACCGTGACACGATGCGTGTACACCGAGATCGTTAATCGAATTTGTATCCCGTGTAATGGAAAGTTAGGAAGTTCACTCAGCAAATGCTCAATTGGATACATGAATGTCAATTGTGGTTATTTTCGAAAAGTTGAAAGCGAATAAACCAGTAGCACATTAGTTTCTAAAAATCTAATCTCTCCAAAAACTTCACTTTGATACTCGTGATAATATTATCCATAATGTAACAAACATACAAATATCTAGAGTATGAGAGTACGTCTGCAGCGCGGTTACACGAGGAAAGGAATAACTTTACGAACGAATTATGTGTACATATGTTATACATCACGTCCGTGTTTATTTCCTCGACAAAGATTTTACTAGTGCGGCTGCACGTGGAACCCGGCCAATTCTCGCAAATAGCGCGGGTAAATCCAAGAGGATGTGTCACGCTATGATTTTTCGAACGCTTGAAGAATTTATCATTGGAATTCGTTAATCGGATAAATTGCGATACGTCGCGTACAAATTCCAGACGTAGAGGATTCCTTTTTTTATTTTCTCCACGACTGTCCGATCTCGTATCGTCGATCTTTTTCAGGTAACGTTAAAGACGAATGCCACTTCGATTTCAGGCCACGTGTCGCCAAATATCGAAAAACCCTTGAGGGAGATCGTCGAACTTAGAGGCGAGCCTTTTTTTGCGACCGTTTCAATATCGAGTTCGAACGCGATATTGATTAGAAATATTGAAAAAAAAAAAAGAAGGAAGGAAAAGAAAAAGAAACTCGAGACTGACTTTTTTAATTTCCGTGTTTCTAGCCAAAGCGTGACATAGAAACGTTTTCATCAACATATGTACGCACCATCAATTGCACTTTACGCATATGTGTACATATGTTTGTAAATTTGTTACATCTTAAAAAAAAAAAAAAGAAAAAATATCGCTACGTTTAAAAGTAATTTTCCATTTCTAAAGAAGTCTGTGGAATAAATTAACAATTTCGATGTTAATCTCTTCACGAGATAGATACAAAAGATTTGTTTTTTTTTTTTAAATCGTTACACGGTATAATCGGTACATGATTGGGGATCAAGGAAACTTACCCTTCGATGAGTCGTTCCACGTGTAAGCCCACAGGGACTGTAGCAGAGGATCTCAGTCACGTTCTGACGAAAATTACGGGTCATAAAACAATACACGGTGGGATTCAATGCGCTATTCGCGTGTCCTAGAAACAGGCAATAGGAGAAAGCATTGTTCCACCCTTCCGCTTCTCCGTTCTCTGTCCCTCTCACACCTGCGAACAATTTCCAGTTTTATATCGAAATCTTCGTTGATTCGATTTCTAGAGGAATCGAGTGATAAAGTTATGTGTTCGATGACCACGTCTTCTTTCGCTGATACGAGTTCAGCGAAAGGGTGAAAGTGTTAAAGTTAAAGTTAGCTTAGTCCATCATTCTCAAACAAAGAGAAATGGAATTAAATTAATATAGTATTTTATTAGTACTTATACAAGTATCGATCGAGAAATAGTGATTTTCCAACATTTTTATAAAGAATGATTACTCACTGATTACATTACACTGATAGTCTCTTAAGAGCATTAAAACGTTACAATTTGAAGGCTTTATATCGAAATTCGTCGGTTTGATTTCTAGAGGAATCGAGTAATGAAGCGGTATGTTCGATGATCATGCTCTTTTGTTGATATGGCTAGTCAATTATTTTCAAACAAAGAGAAATAGAATTAAATTATTATTTTATTAGTATTTATACAAGTATCGATCGAGAAGTGGCGATTTTCCGGCACGTTTTATAAAAAATGATTACATCCAAGTCTCTTAAGAGCATTAAAACGTTGCAATATCGTGGCTTTATATCGAAATTCGATTTCTAAAGGAATGATAAAGCAACGTGTTCGATGATCTTTCGCTCTTTCGCTGATACGAATTCAACGAAAGTATGAAAGCGTTAAAGTTAAAGTTAAAGCCAATCGATTATTTTCAAACAAATAGAAATGAAATATTAAATTATTATTTTATTAGTATTTATACAAGTATCGACCGAGAAGTGGCGATTTTCCGGCACGTTTTAATAAAATAAATGATTCTCACTGATACTCACTGATTATATCCAAGTCTTTTAAGAGCATTAAAACGTTATACGGGAGCCAGCAGAGGGCAAAAAGCACAGCCAGAAGAAGCAGTATCCAAGCGATTCGCCTTCGCTCACGTACCAGCCTGAAACTCTGCGAACAGAATGCAGTTACGCTTTGGTTGTAAACGTTGGCCAGATTTAGATCAACATCGATTCATCGTCTAATCGTCGAAAAGAGGAGTACAAAGGCGAGCAGATATATCCGGTTTCGACAAAACCGGGAAGAAATAGAAATGAAAATTTACAACGGAGGAAACGCGGCTGTTGAGCAAAGATACGAGTTAGAAAATCAAATAAGTGACGGTAAAAATAAAAAAAGAGACAACAAGAGCAGAGGATAATTTTCTTTTTTTTTTCTTTCGATATATACACGAGCTCGTCGCTCGAAACCGTTTCCTTTCCTCAAATTCTAATTATTTCCGTATCCGCGCCTCCGTTGAATAGGCCTTAACGAAGCAAAGTTAGAAAATTAATAGGCATCGTTCGATCGAGATATGTATTCAATTAAATACTCGTAAAGCGCGCGTATCTATCCTTGCTACGACGCCAATTCTTCGGCGTTAGACGATTTTTCCTTTAAACGATCCTTGCATTGTCAAATTCCAAAATCATTGTTTCCAAAATTCTTCCTTATCGTGTTTCAACTAACCTGTTGCGAGCTGGCGCTTCCCTGGGCACCGTCGCAATCGAATGGCGGTTTCCTGGCGCACAGTGTACGGCCCATCATGATGTACGATAGCACCACGACGAATCCTACGTAATAGAAATCGAGAAAACAGGATTGCATAGAGATTGAGAAAAATGGTAAAGCGATTATCCTCGTTTCGAAAGGAATGAAACGTTCGAATTGAATTGAATTTGTTATCAATCGAATTTGTTATTAATTGGTCTTACCGGGAATAGCGTAAACCAGCACGAAGCACATGGTGCCAAAAAGCGGGGCCTCTATACCCACAGATTTGAAATCTTCCAAGCACATGTAGAAATACAAATCGGTGGAGATATTTTGCGCGAAATCCGACCCGTGAAAGGATATGTTCCTGAGTATCATGATACCTGGATTCTGAAGGGATGTCTGGAAAAGAAAAGGTGAGAAACATTCGTCGATAATTTTCTTTTTTCGTTGATGACAGAGAAATAATGATGTTTAATACTGAATGAAGATGAAGATGAATATGAAACGAGGGAACGCTACTCTTTACGTAAAAAGAGTACTTTATAGGCAAGAACGTCTTCAAAATACTAACCACTCTGAGAAGAGGAGCAAAGATGATCAAAGCGACCACCCAGAGAGCTATGATAACGAAGACCGTGCTCTTGCGGTTGAAAACTCGTCGAAAAGCTATGGGGCTTCTTATCGCTAAATATCTGTCAATGCTCATCGCGGTGATAGTAAAAACCGAGGCAGCTACCGCAACACCTACGAAATTTCAAATACGTGGATATTAACATGTCAGGGTAAAATGTTAATTAGAGATTCTTGAACTAATTTTAAACAACATTTTCCTTTACGAAAATTATTAACAAAAAACATTGCCAATCATGCATAAAGTTCAAGCAACATATGTCGAAAATTTGTTAAATATAACAAATATTTATCGAAAAAAATTATCTTATTCGTAGATATAGGACGAATAAGTCGAATTTATTCAAAATGAACGATATGAAATTGCGTATAAAAAGGCAAATATATATATTAAATTTCTCTAATAAATCAAGGATAAATAATACGTATTTGAAGGATATTTGGAAGAAGAGGAGAATGATAAAAAAAAAAAGAAGAATGATAAAGGGGGATGATAAAAGAGGACAATGATAAAAAGGAAGAGAAAGAAGAGAGTGATAAAGAAGTTGAAATTACCTCAAGAATCTCCAATTAATTAGTGTTAATCCTATATTTGAATTGGGGGGAATATACGTAAAGAAATATATCAAAGAAATTGTCATTTTAAAATCACTGTTATAAATGTCTGTCATAAATTCGATCCTTCAATAAAACATTCAATTTTTGTTGGATTTGAATCTTTGTAGTTGAACGTGGGTGGTAAGGTCGTCGTCGGATAAAGAGAGAAATTAAAATTGAGCCCTAGTTGTGGAGGGAAACATTGAACCGCAATAAACGTGGATGTACGCGTGCGTGCAAGAACGCACACATTCCAAGTGAATCTTTTCTTGTACGTATCGCCCACGCCGCCTAAAGAGGGAGGGGGAGTGTCGTATCGCGACAACTCGAAGCTGCGAGACGTTCTCATTCATGTCACCTTACATTTCCGCGTGAGAGTTGGATAAAATAGGGATATGTATCTAAAAATATCACAAAAGAGTAATCGACGAAAATATTTATAACAACGTACAAAGATTCTAATCAATTTCAATCGGGCATAAAATGAAAGACAGATTGTTGTTAAGATCGTTGTTAAAATTACCCTGTAAGTAGAAGGAAAGTTTACACATTATTTCGCCGTGGATCCATTTCATCGAGACCGCCTGGCTGACGGCAACCGGCATGCAAATCGTGGTCACCAAAAGATCCGCCACGGACAGATTAACCACGAAGTAATTAGTCACGCTGAAAATAATAAAGGAGTTCTTTTCAATCATCTTTGAATCATCTTCGTGTTCGCGTCAATCGATGCCCACACATCGTAAAAATTTATTGATTTTTATAAAGCACACAAGAGGATGGACTTTGGTAAGAATCTTAGGACAATCAATATTGGACGCTCATCGAAATACAAACGATATTTTAT